TATTCTAGTGTATTGAATGCAACTTTGTGATTGTAATGGCGATAGCCATTTTACGTCCATTCATAAAATATTTTAAATAATAACTGAAGAAATTCTTCAAGAGTGACGAAAACCCTCGCCAGAAGGCGAGCAACTGCTCTTATTTTATACGCATTCAGAGTCCGATATGACCACACATGCCTATGGAACATTTTTCTTCTATTATTTGTTTTATCCCATTCGTAGTGGCATTCCTAATCTTCTTAGCAACAAGACTGGAAAATTGTACAAAACCTTGATAAGAATGCAGGTAGTCTCCGGATGCTCCTTTTGCGATTCTGCAAACCTGTACTGATTAACGTCTTCTTATTTCAAACACAGATTAATGTTGCAAATCTAAGTTATATCCACGCTATATCATTGTACAGATACATTATCAATCTTAGTATTCAGCTAAGTATATTATTTATTTGTAATATTTCCTGTACACTCATATCTAAAGGCTAAGTATGTTACTTTGTCGTTCTAATAGTTACTAACAGAATTAGAAGATGGCAGACATAAGCAATAGTGCAAGGTATATGAGTCTGTATTTCAGCGTCCAGTTTTACTGAAAGAAATCGTACTAATCTCACTTCTTTGTAGTAGTATAGCTTGTTATTCTATTAAGTTTAATGTTTTAGTATACACGTTGTCTCCAGGATCCGTTAGGACTCATTTTCTTAAATTTTGCCCTGATATGCCATCTGTTGGCGAGTTGTGGAGTTAAGATTCTTGAAGTTTCAGCTGTGGCTGTCTATAATTTCAAAGCGCAAGAATCGCTGCATCATGTGTTCTGACCTTGAATGTAACAGTACTGTTCTGACGCTCGTCGGAAAATGGCGGTTGAACAGAGAACCAACATCGAATTTTGTTTGAAATTAGGAAAAACAGCCGGAGAAGCATACGAAATGATGAAAAGTGTGTACGGTAGTGACTGTTTGAGTCGCTCGAACATTTTTCGATGGTGTGCTGTATTTCGTAACCGCAGGGAGGACACTGAAGACGCTCCGCTCCACGTGCATCAAAGCCGAGAACAAGTCGCACTGAAGAAAATATGGAAGAAGTGACCGAAATCCTTGAATCAGACAGTTAGGTTTCTGCAAGAATCATGGAGGAGCTTTTGGAAATAGCAAAAAGTACTATGCATCAAATTTTGACCAAGGATTTGGGCAAACGAAAGGTCTGTGCGCGGTTTGTACCGCACGTTCTGTCAGGCGATGAGAAACATGCCAGAGTGGAACACTGCAAAGACATGTTACGATCGGCCCAAAGTAATACCAAATTTACAAAATCGATTGTTACTGGTGACGAGACATGGTGTTTTCAATATGAGCCTCCCACAAAGCGGTAGAGTGCAGCGTAATTGAGCCCAAAGAAGCCGAAACCAAAGAAAGTGCGCATGCAAAAGAGTCGAGTAAAGACACTGCTAAATGTTTTCTTCGATTCCAAATGAATTATTCACAAGAAATTTCTACCAGAAGGTCAAACGCTGAATTCTGATTATTATCTCGGAGTCTCAATCATTTATGGGCCAGAAAAGGAATTACAGTCCTTAATCGTCCTCCATATTCGACAGAATTCGCTCCAGCAGATTTCTGGTTGTTCCCAAAAGTTAAGTTGGCGATGAAAGGAGACCGTCACGACACCATCCAGGACATCAAAACGGAATCTATCGCAGTTTTAAATGCGATTCCATAAAAGGAATATAGTGACTGTTTTCGAAAACTTTTCAAATGATTCCAGCTATATACTGATTCAGAAGGAGACTATTTTGAATAAAAAGAGTGAAATTTTGAAAATAATTTATGTCTTGTAATTTTAATGAACACAGTCCTAACAGAACCTGGACACACTCTGTAAATGTAGCTGGCTTTCCAAAACATTTTTCAGTTACTGAATTTAGTAATTTTGGCTAAGTTTTCGTGGTAAAAAATGCACAAATTTTGTTTTCTAAATATAATTTATTCTTCGAGTTTTTACATAAAAAATTCTATAGGCTTTGAGCTAGTTATTTTTAAAAGATTTGAATTTAAGAAGAGACATACGTATTTCTTGTTATAAAAGATATGCACAACGAGCAGTTTTTATAAAACGCCAATAATCGGATTAAATTCTATGTAAAGCAGACTTTATGTTGAAAAGACACTGATCAAAAAGGAAATCCAAAGGAATTGAAAGCATATTGTGCAGCGCTGCCGAAGAAAATATTCAGAGAGGCAAACACCGACCACCCAATAACGCTTTCATTTTATGCATAGTAGTGTAATGAAGCAAATGTCTGCAACTGAATGACGAATCGAATATTCCATTATTTAATATATTATTTCCTGTGAAATGACGTCCATCATCTTAATATTGCTTATATTATTTTAATTTCTCTGTTTGGATTCATGATATTAGTACATAAAACGTTACAACTCAAAAGATAATAAAAAGCTATCCTCAACTACGCTGTTTCAACTTAAAAAGGTCGAATTATACGAGAAGATAGTATGAACTGTTAGTACGCAAGGAACTTGTGGAGAAATTTAAGGTCCTATCTTAACACTCACCTTGAGAAATTGAAGAACTCTACAGTAAGTCTTTCAAGATAGCCGCCAACACGGCCGATATTCGATATGTGTTATCTCTCGCGTATTTCTAGAGAATTACTGCCACAGTAACAGGTTCGATAGCGAGAACTATGTGGAGTGATAAATAAATATTAGAATATCTTATTTATGCCGGAAATGTTTCCCGAATCTTGGTTGCCTTATCCCTTGAAGCTAACAATTTTCAGAACAGAGCTGAAAATTTCAGTTTTCGTTAATATTTTGACACGCTGCCTTGTTTTATGTTTTGTTTGTGTGTTCACGCTTGTTCTGTTTGTCTCTTTTCTCGTGTTTACTTTGTATTTGGCTTTGGATTGGTGATCAAGCATGTAAATGGATAAAAGAATGAAATGAATTGAAACGAAAACTTCAGTGATTATGTAATGTAAGCAGAAAAAGAGAATAACCATTAGTGAGCAGCTGCAACGTAAGGAAATATTTTCGACGCATATCTTAAAGTAATATCTCGGAATATATAAGGAGGAAATAAGGGAAATCACAACATATGTGTATCTTAGCCATTTTAACCTGGATATCTGCCAAGCATCGAACAGAGGACTTTAAAAATACAGAGATAATCGATATGCTGCGGCACTAGAAAGCAACAATGCCACTCGATACTAATTTCATATCGACGTTCCATGCATTCTTGACAATTCTGAATCACTCTATCAGAATAACACTGCACTGCCTAAAAATATTACATTTTTTATTGCTAGTGGGGTGGGACTGGGGGCAGCGTAGTGGTTAAGGCTACAAGTCGGAAGGTCGCGGGTTCAAATACCGATAACGTCATTGGATTTTTTTTCAATTGACCTAACCCTTCCGGCCGCACTATGGCCCTGGAGTTTACTCAGCCTCTAACAGAAATGAGTACCAGGAATTTAATAAACAATTTTCCTGAGGAGTAAAGTGCGGCCGGCGCGTAAGGCTGACAAAGTTACCACTATTTTTGAGCCGATTGTCTAGATAATGTGGGACACTCAACGTCTCACAACCCTATGGGCCTTCATGGCCCATAGACTTGTTAGCTTGACTAAGTCCCTTGTACTTCTGGCCTATTGTACCAGCCCCAGATGACAGGTGAGGGTGATTGTGGAGCAATTGGTGGAATTCAGATTGACAGACGAAAGCGAAGTACTCGGAGAAAACCTAACCCAGCGCCACTTTGTCCACCACAAATCCCACTTGACCAGACTCCGGGATCGAACCCGGGCCGCCGCCATGGGAAGCCAGCGGCTAACCGCTTGAGCTATGGCGTGGCCCTGAAAAGAAATATTACTTACTTACTTACTTACTAATGGTGTTAAGCCCTTCTTGAGGAGTCCCCAATTCTGCAGCTACTTAATAATTTCCCAGGATTTTATGGAGCCCGAGGGTTCATTACCGTGTTCATAAAAGTCCTCCACTGGTCCCTATCCTAAGCCAGATAAATCCAATCTATACCCTCCCATCCTATCACTCTAACGTCCATTTTAATATTGTCCACCCACCTACCCCTTGGTCTTTCCACTGGTCTCTTTCCTTCTCTCTTTCCCACCAATAGCCTATATGCATTCGTCTCCGCCATTCGTGCTACATACCCCGCCCACCTCATTCTCCTTGACTTGATCATTCTAATATGCAAGACGTTGAGGGTCTCACATTATCTAGACAATCGACTCAGAGATGGCGGTAAGGTTGTCAGCCTTAAGCGCCGGCCGTGCTTTACTTCCCAGGATAATTATTTAATTACCGTATTTACGCATATATAGGCCGCGTGCGTGTATAGGCCGCAGCACAATTTTCAGACAGAAATTATAAAAAAAAATAATTTTCTTGGAATATTATTTCAGGAGTAGAAATTATTCCGAAATTTGGCAACGTTATTTTTTTTTAAATGAAGTGTGCTTTCGAATATTTCGAATATAAGCCGCACCCCAGTTTTTCTCTTGAATTTTTGGCAAAAAATGTGCGGCCTATACATGCATAAATACGGTATATACTTAATGTAATACGTAAGACACCCTATTAAAATTAGCCTTCTGCTTTATTTACACCTAAGATCGTGGTCTAGGTAAGTCATTTATGGAAGGATATTAATGCAATTATGTGCATAGCGTACAGAATCAGGATATGTTGAAATTTGTGTTGTAACATTGCACTTTATACCAAGAATAACAGCCATATCATGCATTGACATTTAATAATTATTTAAGCACTCAAAGTAATAGATTGACATTTTATACAATTACTGCCGCCGATTGGCAACGCTAAAGAGAGGTTCGCCACGAGTTACAATTTCTAAATGTGATACACTTTGAATGCAAGCTAAAGCGAGTCTAACACAAACACCTGCAAGCTACCCTTGACAATGGTCAAGCAGATCCTTTCTCGAGGTTATCCACAACCAAAACACTGTTTGCTTGACATTGAACAGAAAGACCAGATCAATAATTTCAGTTCTTTTTGTGTGTATATTCGGGAAGTTTACCTTGTCAGTCAGTATGATGAAGTAGTAACTAAACAATGAGAATAAGTTTTGATGTTTCACAACGATAATTCTTCAGATTGTGGTCTTGTGATGTGTGATATTGGGGGGATAACGCACTGCCTGCAGCTTCAGGGTTGAAGTAAGCAGGATATTGATGTTTCAGAGGAAGACACGGTCTTCATCAACAGGATTTAAGTGTACGGACACTGACCTTTCGGGGTGGCATACTGCTCCATCTTCAGGATTTTGTATGGCTATGGAGGTTTCAGAGGAACATGCTGAACCCATCTCCAACCTTGAATAAAGAAGCATTTACTCCGAGACATCAATGTTGGGCTAAAAGTTACATTGTGTAACATCTCAGAAGACCATAGATTAGACAGTGAGCAGCAGACATAGGTACAGGAGCCCTTCCTTGGGTAACATATCGTCGTCATGAATGGATCCGCCTCCCACTGCTTCAGAAGGCCACGATGGGGAAGCATCACACCTCCTGGCTGATCAGGGTCACGATGAAGAACAAAAACAAAGCAAACAAAAACTCCGTGGCTCGTAGTTTGCAAGCGAACTGTACAGACTCCCGCTTGTCTGCGAAGTTAGTGCCAACTTTAAAGGATAAAGGGTGTCGCGTGGCCAGCGCAACTGATCCTCACGGCCGTTAATCTCGGTTTTCTAGACAGGAGCTGCTATTTCAATTATCCTCATGAGGCTGAGTTGACCTCGTTCAAGACCCACTACTTCACAGAAAATCTGGTAGCGCCGGGAATCGAACCAGGGACCTCTAGATCTGTAGCCAGGAGCTCTGACCACTAGACCTTGGGCGATCGTAGGGTCACAATAAAGCTGAGATTTATTCATAACGCAGTGTCTGAAACCAAACTTGTTGGCTGAAAGTGTAGATGAAGAAGCCAATCAGGGTTAGTCAGGATTCAAAATTCACAGTGAATACGTCCGGTCCCAGGTATGGAAACTTTTTGAATATAAATGCTTTAGCCCTATAGGTTTCAGCGTGTGACATGGACTGGAAATCCATTCACATAAGAGATATATATTCTCAAATTTTATTAAGAAAGAAAGTGCTAATAACAAGCATCAGTAAGGCTTTCCTTTTGAGTCCCTTGTGACAGTTTTGTAGTACTATCAACTTGTTTAGATGATATTAGGTTCGTGTTAGTTATAGGTTTAGTTCGACACAACAAAATTCACATCAACAATGTCACAAAGTTCACTTGTCATCGTAGTCCCAAAGTGTTGCGCCAATATTATAACTGAAATTTACAAAATTTAAAAAACAATCTTACAATGAATCTCGAAACTGCTGAACAATATAAAGCAAGGAGTAGAAAACGCCATGGCTGTCCCACAATATGAAAGTGACTTTTATAATCTTTGAAAGCAAAAAGTTAAAACTGAATCCGTGACGATAATGATGAAGGTGGTGACAGTGATAAGTGAAAGAGTAACTTGTAATTTACAAAAATGTGTCTGAAGGAGATATGTCGATATTCAAGGTCGTTTTTTACGTCGATGATATGAGATATGAAAAAAGTAAAATTTGAAAATTTTCCTTCTTTTATCATCATCATATCCTACATAATTTGCGTCACCTGTTTGCATATGTCCTTGCCCGAAATATGATAACAAATAAAAGGAATTTTCAACTTTGCTAGAGCCACTGAAGGAGAGGAGTGTTCGAATCAATAAATTTACATGGTCTCACAAAATATAACTACAAAATAATTATAAATATTGATGTTATAACTAATATTTGTCAGTCTTCATGCGTACATATTATTATTACATCTTTTTATTATTAACTGTTTTAATAAAATTTAACTTAGTTCTAAATTCCGACCTTCTGTTCTGGAAATTGTTGGTTTTCGAGCTCTTGCTCTGTATATCAGAGACTTTACTTTCTTCTGTGTCTGCTCCTCAAGTAAAAATTGCCCTTCTGCTAGATGCACATTAACTAATAATATTGTTTTTGGGAAAGGTGACGTGTTTAGAGCCAAAACACTTCTCCATACTCATATCGTTTACTGTTCCTTGCATCATAACAAAACACGAATTTTACGCAATATGGGTATATGGATGTAATTTTTTCTCGACACATAATGGCATAACCATTGTAAATGTACAATATATTTCTTCTCTTGTCTCTTAATGATAAATATGATTTTTAATGGAATTATTATTATTATTATCATTATTATTTCTTTTAGTTATTTTTGTGCCTTTCTATGTATACACACTAACTGTGTTATTGGCCTCTGAGCTGTTAAGTTTGTACGTATNCAACATAGGCTACTCCTGGAAATATTATTATATTGTCACATGATTGTAAGGATCTAGAAGTAGACATTGAGTGTAAACCTCGTTTTCATTACCTTGATTTTTTAAATTTGCGCATTCATTTCAACAGTTGTTTCGAACCTTCTGAAAAAGAACACACGAAATTTGTCTTCAAGACATAAAGTAAACTTCATTTCAAAATGTGAACATTCTATAATTTCAAATGTTTCTTCTCGTGTATATTTTCTTAAAAGAATAAATATTATTTACTTTTTTATTTAATTGTAAATACAAACATTCACATTGACATTTAATAGAATTCAGACGGTTATATATTTTTTGTTTCACTCGAACCTGGCACTGAATATACAGAAAAACGTCCATATAATTTCTTTGCATATAACTTCGTTTATTCCTATTATAATTCTTGAAGCAGACCCAAAATCCTAATAAAAATCAGATGATTACCAATGATTTTATGTAATTCCTGTGCTTTATAAGCTCTATCATCTGTATATGATCTGTCAATTTGTATATTATTAATTACGTACCTATCACTTGGTATTATATTTACTCAATCAAAGTCGACTTGCTTGAACAACTGTGCATGCTTGGTATTTTTGCATATATTCTGTACATGATCTTCTGTTGTTCCTGAAGCTTTCAGACATCCATAGCTCATCTCTCGATTAAATATAAATTAATAAAGAATTTAATTACGTAAAGAATCATCCACCAGATCACTAGTATAATGGTGCATTTAGTAAGATTTTCCATACCCAATGTTCTTATATTTAGCGTATATATATATATTTATGTAAGCATATGTAATATTTACTTAAAAGCACTGACAGTAATTCTCATTGTATAGCGTCGAATGTTAGCGTGATTAGTGAAGAATGAACTAGATAGGACGTGGAGGAAAGTGACCATGGATTAAGTTGCGGTACTGTCCCGGCATTTGTCTGGACTGACTGAAAAAAAAAGACGAAAAAAACCTCGGCCCGGATAGCCGACTTCCTGACCTAGATATGAACTCGTGCCCTCTCTCATACGAAGCAGAACTGTCATCCACTCGATGACAGAGCTTGCTACTTTTATTGTCTTCCCTGCACTGTACTTCGAATCATATCTACCTATGGCTCTACAGTCCTTTTGTTGGTCCTTGGCCGCTGTTTCAGTTTCTTAATCCTGTACACAGTCGGTAGGTCGGTAGGATTCCTTGGACGGGTGACCAGCCCGTCACAAGGCCGCTACCTACACACAGAACAACACAAACAGAATAAAAGCACACAAAAATTAATGTCTTGAATGAAATTCGAACCCACAATCCCAGCGTTCGATCAAGTGAAGACAGTTCATGCCTTAGGCTGCGCGGCCACTGTGATCTGTTACTTAATCTCATATACAGTTCCTAAATAACCCGGATCTACAAGACAGTCATTAAAGTGACCAGTATTTCTTTATTACCTCATCATAATAATTGTACACGTTTTCTACTTCAGTAGACACCCTGTGTCTGCTTTCCTTTTCTTTCGATAGTACTCAATATCTCATACAACGCGAAATATATTTAATTGGGATAAATAACAGTACATTAATTCGCACAAATTTATCAGTCAACCAAGGATTGTTTAGAAGACTCATTAGAATATTGTTAGTGTTCTGAAAGAGTCAGTACCTGTTTTTCCTGTTGTTTCGGTAGTACTCGAACTCGCTGTTGCCTCCTCTGAAGGCTGTGACAAGGTGGTTCCAGACGCTCAGGTCCAGCACGTCGAACTCGTCGTGCCAGAGGAGTGCCTCAGCAGATACTGTGCTCACAAGTGGCAGACAGACCACTACCGCTGCCACCAGCCCTGCCATATCTACCGAAGTAGAGAGAGAACACAGCTGCAGACAGCGCTGCTCCCTTAATTATACAATGGGATGAGTTCGGCCGTGCCGCTCGAATATTCACCTTATCAAGAAATTTGTGTGGGGTCAGTATTCACATACTTGTCTGAGGAATCCACGCTATTAACAAAACACTGAAAACATACTGCACAGACCATACAAAAACTCAAATTGTATTTATTGAAGAGAGCACGAGACACCGGTAGAGGGACAACATCTTGCATTCGGAATTTATTCTCGACTTTCAAATTCACAGTTCCAATTCCATCAGAAGTTACCGTGATTTTCTTCGCAACTCCAGTAGCCATTAATTAATGATAGGTATAAAACAATCACGTCTTCTTCATAACCGTTCCACAATATGCAAATGATATATTTTCATCTTATTTCTGAATTACCACACTCACTTCATTAGGTAAATCTATGTACATCACTGACTCGGAAATCAGGAGATTAACTTCAAAGAAAGGAGTCAGTTGGACAACAGCCTAGAGTGAAGGTTACGCAGAGTGCGTAAACTTAGTAACGGTAGGAAAGTTCCATGAAAACAGGCTGTATAAAATTAAATGAAACTCATTTTGCATTTCCATTAAATGAAACTTCTCCTGCTTGTAAGGGCAGGTGTAATTTATATTGACGAATTAACAAATGTCTCTGATGTTTCGTCTTATATGCAACTTACTTACTTTCTTACTCATGGAGCTGAGCCCTTCTTGAGGAGCCGCCAATTCTGCAGCTACTCAAGTATTTCCCAACATTTTATGGAACCCGAAGGTTCATTACCATGTTCACAAGAGCCCTCCACTGGTCCTTATCCTGAGCCAGATCTATCCAATCCAAACATTCCATCCTACCTCTCTAAGATCCATTCTAATATTGTCCACCCACCTACGCCTTGGTCATTCCTGTGGTCTCTTTCTTTCCGGCTTTCCCACCAATATCCTATACGCATTCTTCGTCTCCCACATTCGAGCTACATGACCTGCCCACCTCATCCTCCTTGACTTGATGATTCTAATTATACTTGGACAAGAGTACAAGTTATGATGCTCCTCATTTTTAGAAATCTTGTTTAAACTTTACTGCATTTACATAATGCGTCTTTTAAACTTATGTTAAAAACCACAATGTCCACTTCATGTTTCAACCGTCATTGGTCATCATCACGTGTTAAACTGCTCTGTGAATACGGCTGTGCTTGCGTTTTTCCCCCCTTCTAATGTAAGACGTGTAGCCCCATTACACATTCGAGTGTTTCTTGGTGCTGCGAGTCTTCTCTTACCGCGTTGTGTGTTAAGACCACAAGTGTTCATACCCACAGGCGTAGAGTTCAGGGAAATGGTTATAACCAGGGCCCGGATTTTCATGAAATGTCATCTTTTTTTCCTTGTGTCCTATTCGATGCCCGTAATTATATAAATCCCGGAGATGAGCTGCTGGTTACAGAAATGTAACTTTTATATGTCGCTTTTGTCATGTGTCGTCATTTTTAAGTTTTTATGTCATTTTTTCTGTCTTTGGGTGATTTTTCGGTAAATACTTGGACTTTTAAGGGTATTTTTTGTCATTTTAGCCATTTAGGGATTTTTTATTTATATGTTTTCGGAAATGTGAATAATATGCAAGTAAAGTGTTCCTTCCCTTTCTCCTGCCTCTAAAAAGGCAGGCTGCAGCTGCACACCAAATACCTGTTACCACAGTATGCAATAAGTTGTAATAATGTCCCGTCCTTTCCGTTCGTTTTGCGGAAAGTGCTGACACTACATATCAAAATATTTTAAGCTGGCAGCAGGGTACGACAGCGGTCACTCACACTGCGGCCCTATCCAAGTTCTGTGCAAAGGAATTAGCTTAGTTACAAATATTTCTAGTCGGAATCCCTCTCATTTTATGACATATTCTTGCTCAATAAAACTCTGTCTTCAGATTCTCGCCCTCGACCGTACAGACAAAGATACAGTTGACGAAAGGTTCTCAGTGTGAAAAGTTCAGTTCTGTGTTGCACTAGAGTGATTCATTTCATCGCGATGCCTAAAGCAAAGCCATCTAAATCGTGCTTTTAAAGCAGATTGTATGTGAATTTGGGGATGATATATTTTCAACTGACGGTAAAATTTTATACTGTAAGATGTGTGACAAAAATTAGCGGCAGAAGAATGTTTCACGGTACAATATATCGGCCTCGACAAGCATATACGAGCAGTGAAAATTTCGAACAAACAAAAATCTGTGCAAATGTTACTGCAACAGTGTTCATAAGTAGGCGGAAATAAGTCGTCGGATTCTTTCACAGATTGTGTGATGCTCTAATGTCCGCAAATATCCCGTTTTGGGCTCTGAACAATGAAAAATTGAAATATTTTTTGAAAGTGATTTATGGTCATTCTATCCCGGATGAATCCACTACCTTTCCTAGTGCTACAACAATATCCTGGATATGATTAGTAATAAAGTGCATGGGAAGAAGATTTTCGTTTCCATTGATGAGACCTGCGATATGGAGGCAAAGGTCATCATTGGAACCTTGGAAATTGGCGGACCAGGTGAAGTGTTTCTGCTTACGAGTGAGGTGCTAGAAGCCGTTAATCATTCCACAATTTGTAAACTCTTTGACAGGTCCATGTTTCTACTGTGGCCAGAGGGAATACAACACGACGTCGTCTTGCTTTTTGGGATCGATGCGGCCACATATATTTTAAATGCAGGCAAGTCAATAAAGTCGTTTTATACGAAATTGGTGTAGGTTACTTGACTAGCACATGCACTGCATAGAGTGACGGAGGAAGTGAGATCAAGATTTCCTCAAGTGAATGATCTCCTGTAGTGGACGAAGATTTTCGTCAAGGCTCCAGCTCGTGAAATACAATATTATATTTAAGCATCCTGTTGCACTCTACACTTCTATATGTATAATATAAATACTGTCGTAAATGCAACAGTTTATTGTAGTTCTTTGTCTTTCTTCTTTTACACTACATGTTTCGGCCGTAACTGGCCATCATCAAGTGTATTTCACTTACGTAACTGCCACATTGCATGTAATTTAAAATTTAAAAACACCAGCTTTCTCAATTGTCAATGCTGCGTTTCAACCGGTCCCGATATACCAGAATCCCCTTGCTGATTTTGTCAGTTATGTTTAAAATCTCTGTTAATATATACTCGTCGATTTGATTTAAATTTAAAATTTTTAAAATTTAAATCACAGGGATACCCGCTCTGTGTCTACATGTGCTGTAGCGGCTACTTCTTGCTTTCAGCACCGTTCTCGTATTATTCTGGGCAGGTTCCCTGTGTGCGTGCCGCTGTTTATCTTTAATACGTTTGCAGTGTGACAGCTACGTAAGTGAAATACACCTGATGATGGCCAGTTACGGCTGAAACATGTAGTGTAAAAGAAGAAAGACAAAGAATTACAATAAATTGTTGCATCGTAAAATACAATTTAAATCTATGGCTCCTGGGGTTCCACTGCCCCGGAACCCGCCATCACAAGGTCGGGAACGTGGATTGATGCTACAGTTTACTATTGCGATCATTATCAGGTAGTGAAAAACACTGTAGGTTCAATGAGGACAGAAGATGCGAGGGCAATTGAAACTGCTCAGGAACAGTTCTCGTGCAGCGAATGGAAGGACAGCTGGCCTTCATAAAGGCAAATTTCAGTTCCTTGACGGAAAGAATCAAATTCTTACAGGAGAAAGGAGCAACGTTAGAAGATTCACTCGCTCTCGTTAAAAAAATAACCACTGATTTGGAGAAAGTGTCAGGGGATATTGGTAAAATGATGTCAAGAAAAATGAAAAGTGTTCTGGATAAAAACTCAGGTTATGAAACATTACGCAGCGTTTCTCAAATTCTGACAGTAGAGTTCTTCGGTACTTTCAACATTGAAGGAGAACTTACTGCTAGTGATTTGGTAGACTGCAAGTACGCTCCTATTGTGTCTGCAGATGTGGAAAGGAGTTTCTCCAAGTACAAGAGTGTGCTGTNTGAAACATGTAGTGTAAAAGAAGAAAGACAAAGAATTACAATAAATTGTTGCATCGTAAAATACAATTTAAATCTATGGCTCCTGGGGTTCCACTGCCCCGGAACCCGCCATCACAAGGTCGGGAACGTGGATTGATGCTACAGTTTACTATTGCGATCATTATCAGGTAGTGAAAAACACTGTAGGTTCAATGAGGACAGAAGATGCGAGGGCAATTGAAACTGCTCAGGAACAGTTCTCGTGCAGCGAATGGAAGGACAGCTGGCCTTCATAAAGGCAAATTTCAGTTCCTTGACGGAAAGAATCAAATTCTTACAGGAGAAAGGAGCAACGTTAGAAGATTCACTCGCTCTCGTTAAAAAAATAACCACTGATTTGGAGAAAGTGTCAGGGGATATTGGTAAAATGATGTCAAGAAAAATGAAAAGTGTTCTGGATAAAAACTCAGGTTATGAAACATTACGCAGCGTTTCTCAAATTCTGACAGTAGAGTTCTTCGGTACTTTCAACATTGAAGGAGAACTTACTGCTAGTGATTTGGTAGACTGCAAGTACGCTCCTATTGTGTCTGCAGATGTGGAAAGGAGTTTCTCCAAGTACAAGAGTGTGCTGTCGGACAATAGGCGCTCATTCACCTTCGATAATCTCCGCATGTTGATTGTCATCTATTGCAACTCTGAATGAGGTGGCACTTAAATGTTGGAATACATACCGTATATGTACATTTGATAAGCGTTCCAACGCGGTAGAAAAAATCATATTAAAACATTTAGCTTCAAATTCAGTCAATATTGCTTAATTTCCAACATAAAAACGAGGACGAACTTAAAAGAGTGACGTTGAGTTCGCAGCGTTAATAAAGATTGAAAATACATTTTAAAACAATTAGTAGATTTTCCATGACATGATACATTTTTAGGTCGTTTTTTAACTTTTAGATAATTTTTCGGTCATTTTATAGGTTATTTTTCTGGATTTTCGGTCATTTTATAGTTTTTTTATTTTTCGGTCATTTTCAAAATATTTTTAGGTCATCAAAATCCGGGTCCTGATAACGATTTATAAGTTTAACCCTTTATATGCCTAACAAGAAATATCTCTAAATAGAGTTAATAGTTCAATTTTAGCTCCAACTAAGAAACTTCCTCGCCGTCACCAGCGTCACTATGCTTCAAAATATGTGGTGAAATAAAGGCAGTCTATTTGTGGAGACAAAGGAATTTTGTAAACTCACGTTTTGTGCAATGATTAATTCCTTGGGTATCTTAATTGTGAAACCAGTTAAAGTTAGAACTTATAACTATGCTCGTTTGTAACTAGTAAACAATTCTCCAAAGCAGACACTTGTAGTTCCTTTGAATTGTCAAATATAACCTCCAAATTTTGCTCTGTCATGATGTTGATGATTTGACTACAATAGACTAACAATTCAGAAATTTCAAAAATATGTTTATAACCTGCCAGTACATATACTGTATATGTGTGTGTATGTGCATATGCGTGGAAGAGAACAGGAGTGCATATAACATTTAGTTGGAAAAATCTGAAAGAAAGAGACAACCAGGAAGACTTAAATGTAGATGGTAGGAACATATTGAAATAGATCTTAAAGGTATCTGATGGAAGGATGCTGATTAGGTTCATGTGGCTCAGGATATGGGACAACTACGATATTTTGTGAGTCTTCCGATATCATAAAATGCTTGGAATTTCTTGACTAGCTGAGCAACTGTTAGCTTCTTAAGAAGGACTCTGCTCTATGGAGTTTGTCAGGGGATACAAATGAACCTAAATGATTGGAGTGGTGTTTTGTTCTGTAAGTAAGCCGTTCTTTCCTTGTTCTGACGTAGGAGGGTTATTTTATCGTAACTTACTTTACCTTATGGACTTAGCAGTATCTTTGTAAAGACGATATTATATTATGAAAAAAAAAGAAGCATAAAGAATTGCGAGCCTCACTTGAAAATATTATTAGAATTCTGAACATCCTACCAATCATCAAATCTAACAATAGTTTTGTTGGCTACATGAAAGTACGCGTGTGAGAGTTGCCTGTTGTTCAGAAACCGGCAGGCCTGCGTCTGAGCAGATATAACATCGATATCCTGCAACGGCACCCGCAAGAAAGTAGAGCACGAGGTTTCTATCTCTTTCGATATTTCACTCGACTCTTAAGTCTGGATCCGGGTAAGAACTACCCCAGCAAAATTGATGAAATCTCACGCTTAGTTTGAGAGATCATTGCCTTCAAGTCTGCTGTCAGGTCACTGTTTTACATTTTACGAAAAGGATATCTTAATAGAAATTCAACATTTTAAAAATATCTCTTACTACATATCGTTTCAGAATCCCATATTAAATATCCCCCCACTTCACAAGTTTCTGTGCCCTCCATTTTGTAACTACAGGCCGTAAGAAAAAGGAGAGTAAAATTTGTTCATAATATTATATTTCAGCATCAGGTTTCACTGGTCCGTGATTGAGACTAGCTCTTTGTATCGGGCCCAGCTGAGTAGGTTTACCCTGTCCCATCCACCTGACGACGGAGACAGATCCAGTCTCCGAAACGTTGTTTGCTTTTTTTTTGTCTTCTATATATCAGACGATGAATAGAGTCCAAAATAAGCTTAATAGTTCTGTATTTCAGAATTAATTTATTTCGAATAACGGAATTATTATAAAATTTTCGATAATATTCACGATTAAGAGTATTTTTAACAAATCAATATTCGGATGTATACGGAAATGTTAATAACCCGAAGAATGTGTAAAGTTTGTGAAATATAAGTAGATGGAGCGATTCTGAGTAGCTGCAACAGAACCTAAATAAAAACGGCTTTATGTAGGACAGACTTAGCCGAGGAAAATTAAGTGAATGATATGCCGCAATGGCAGTGAATTTCCCGAGCTATCAGCCGAGCGATGTATGCTGGAACATTTCTGAATATAAAAGAAATTATTTATGTTTACAATGTCGGAATATTAAATCAACCAAAGCAATTTTTACAAAAAAAAAA